AGCCTCCATTCTGAAGCTAGCATTAGCCAACTATCAGTAAATGTGTCAGTTCAGTAGAACACTCTGGTTACTGCTAATGAAAAGCACTGATTTTACACAAAGCTCAAAAATATTCCCAAATTAAAATCATATTAATTCAACACAAAGGTAAAATCCTGACCATGCTAGGTCACTAATGCTATATCTGAATCAAATCCAAGTCCTTTGCCTGCTCTTAATTAAACTCTTTCACCTCTTCACTTTGGCAACCACTGTTTCAGACTTTTAGCTGGGAGAGCTCCTCTATGGCTGGCTGTTGGAAATGACTACCAGCAGTGTGAAAAAAACAAACACTTCCTATAACCTTGGCTAAGTGGCAGGCGGAGCTAAGTTACAGACAACACGGGGTAGAGAAGCTGGAATAACAACAGAAAGGCTGTAGGCAGCAGTGTGTCATGCAGGGGGGAGTATGGTTGAGAGACACCATGTCCTGTCCCATTTTCGCTGGGTTTATCAGGCAGCATGGACAGTCTTAATTAATGCATCATAAACACTTGTGCCTTCATATGTGCTGGGAGCATATGTTGTATGCAATGGTTTGTTTCAAGCAGACCCTTCAGTGTTCAGCCTTTGGTTGTTGCTCCAGTGCTGAAAAAAGCACCACACTGAAATGTCCTTGAGCAAATCCCTGAATCCCTACAAGCTTCAGAACTGCTGACCTCTGAACTCCCTGTGGGGGATTCTCTATTATGAGAAATTATGCCCCACATTATCATGGTGAAGATCCAGCACGGAACATACTATTTATTTTAATATAAAAATGTTATTCTGTGGTCATTCAGGAGTGAAATACCAACTGTGTGTCCATTAAAAAGTTAGAAGTCAAAAAGAGTCCACTGAAAAGCAGGAACCTTCCCTGAATGACTAAATAAAGGCTCTACTTCAACAAAACTGCTGAAGTTTGCACATCACTTATGGTGTGTGAGCGATGTGTGTGTGCTCACATCTCTGACTGCTCCCATGTTAATAGAATAAACACAAGTGTTGCAGAAAGAAGAGAAGAAGAAAGAGAACGAGTCAGTGAGCAAGAAAATGAATGGAGCTTGGGGAGAAAGAAAAAAGAGAGTGTCAAAGTCAAATGAATTCAGAGCGATCAATGTGCAGACTTCACCCGGCATATGCAAGAGAGCGCCAGACTTAAAGCTCTTCAAGCCTGCAGTTCAAGGCAGTGACATATCCATTAGAATTTCTAATTCTGATCGCACTGACAGGCCTCCAGCTACAGCACAGGCAGAGAATGGGTTGAATTTAGACCAGTGCTCAGACAGAGGAAAAGAGATTCCAGAGTACTGTTTGTCTTTGATCTCATTAGTATTCTCATTAGTATGACTACCAAAAGGCTAAAGTATACAGTACAAGTACTTCCACCACTGCCTGGAGCTAATTCACCTAAGCTGAATGCAGTCCCTTACACCTGCCTGCTTCCTGCTATGACAAGGCAAAATGTCTGCTGTGAAAAGATCAAGGAAAATGAATGGATCCAACGGGAAAACAAAAATGCCACTTTGTGTTCTTTTATCTCACCTCCTTCATTATTAACATCTTTGTCCATTCAGATTTCTTCAGGTACTGCCTAGAATGAGCTCCCATTTACTGAAATTTCATACAAACATGGACTCATTCAGTCGTTAGTAAGGTACAGTATCAAGAGCAAGAGATAAACTGAAATTTGAACCATCAACAGCAACCTGTCGTGGACTTGTAGCCTAGTTTGGAACCAAATCTCACTGAATACAAGAGTTTCATCCAGGAATTTGGAAGCTTCCTATCTTGATTTAGTGGACAGAACACCTCATGGAAACAATCTGTAGAACAAGAACAGCGTTGACTACTTAATGTAACAATTTTTATGCCTTTATGACATTAAGGTTGAGTTGACTTGATGAATTTCACTATGCACTTGTAAGATGCATCATTAAGCTTTTAATTGTGGAAGAGAGACAAAGTGTTTGCTAGTGGAAGGATGGGATGGTGGGGTACAGAGGCACTGGAGGGGTTCAGGAAATCTGCAGGATTTAAAGCTTAATCTGCTTAGACACTATCCTGTCGGCCGAGCTGCAGACTGTGGCTGAGAGGAGTACGTGCTAGCTTAGCGCAGCTGTCAGGAGCTGCCTACCACCAAATCAATACTGGTCTTTTTCTCTGCCTCTCTACATCTCTCTCATGCCCTGTTCCTCTACCCCCTGCCTCCTTAGCCTTGGCTTTTGCTGCTGCTGTTAAATCAATGAGCCTGAACCTGATCAGCAGGTTCAAGTACAGGTCATTTCTCACAGCCAGGGGACATTTATTCCAATCATAGTGACTTTATCATTACAATGCAAGTGTCAGAATGTTACTGATGTCTGGGATGTCCAGGAATGTGGTGGCTGGGCTAATATAAACACATTTACTCACCTTTTTATCTGCAGAACAGGGATTACTATTACATCATACTTTTTTGAAAAGCTTCCTCCAAACAACACCTGCTTTGTCTGGGTGCTAAGTCAAGACTGTGTACTTGAGGTCAATGTGCTTTTTATTTGACCACAACATCACTGCTGCCAGCAGCCACTGACGTATTTCATCCGTACAACTCATATGCAACAGCTCTTTACTCATGTGATGTTTTTAAATGTTTAACAAGTCTTATGTTGACCATTGATGTGTACTGAGAAGGCTGTGTGCTACTGACATTGTTTGCGCAACACAGTAAATGATCAGAAAAGTGACCAGGAGAAAAACACTGCTGAGCTTCACAACAGTAGAAATCCAATAGCACCTCCACATGGTCAAAGAGGGGCACAGAAGCTTTATGTTTAAAAGTTACGTGGAGCTTGGTGGGTAAAACTATTTCTATATTAAGGTTGTTTAATATGAACTATTTTGCAGCATCAAATAACTTATGTTGCAGCTGTCAGGCTGGAATATACAAGGCAGATTGAAACACAAGTCAGTTGAGCTGGCAGACATCTGATAATGGCATCTTACTGAACACTTACTGTAAATGTACATTAGACTTGATGTTAGACTTTTCTATTCTATTTTAAGAAGTGTTCTTTCTGGCTTTTTACACCTTACTTGACTCCAAAGGCGAGCTGCACAAGAATCCCTATATGCCTAGACTGTCTGTTTGTGCATAAATGGCAAATAAAAATCTTGAATCTTTGTTTCCCAGATTCAGGCCAGTATTGCTGTGGAGTTTCACCACTGAACTGTCAGATGAAGTTTAAATTGAATTGAATTTCATGGCCCACAAAATTGACACGGTAAGCAAAAAATGCCAAAAAGCTTTGTACAACACCTTTCATATTATACATCCATTCATAGTCATTTGATCCTTTGTTCATAAAAAATATTGATCAGTGAAGCTGTAAACGTCATTGAAAGGACCTTATAATTGTAATCAGTAGTGATGGCATGCAAACCATTACAGGCTGCAGCACACAGTGCTAAAGCACAGTGGAGGGGGATGTGGGGAGAGCTAACCAGCTAACTTTTATAACAGGTTTGACAGCCTTACCTCCTTGTTCCTGTCCCCAAAAAGCCACACCCCTGGGTACTGAACGCCTTCAGGTCAGTCAGTCACCCTGACGTCACACATGATGAAAACCCTGGAACGGCTGCTGCTACACCACTTCAGACTCCAGGTCCTGCAGACGCTTTGACGGCAGCTTGCGTACCAGGAGATGGTGGGGGTGGAGGGCACCATCCTCTATCTGCTTCACCAGTGTCTCTCTCAGCTGGAGAGAGGGAATGGTGCTGTGAGGAGCACATCTTTTGACCTCTCCAGCCCCTTCAACACCATCCAGCTCCTGCTACCGAGAGACAAACTGATAGAGGTGGGAGGGGACTCACACCTGAGGTCTTGGATTACAGACTATCTCACAGGGAGACCTTAGTATGTCAGCCTGAGGGACTGCACCTCAGAGACAGTGGTCAGCACCGCAGGAGCACCACAGGGGACACCCTTTTCACACTGTACACCACAGACATCCAATACAGCTTGGAGTTGTGCCACATGTAGAGGTTTTCTGACAACACTGCAATCTTGGCACGTATCTGGAATGAACAGGAGGATGAGCACAGGAGCCTGATCAAGGACTTTGTGGCATGGTGCAAGTCCAATCAGGTACATATTAACACCTCCAAAACCAGAGACGGTGGCAGACGTCCATAGACCCAAACCCCACCTGAAGCTGGTGTCCACTGAAAGGGTCTGTGTTGAGGTTTTCCAGCCCTACAAACACCCAGGTCTGCAACTGGAAGACAAACTGGACTGGTCCACCAACATAGATGTACTAGGCTAGGGTCCTTCAACATCTGCAAGAAGCTTCTACAGATATTCTACCAGTCTGTCATCAGCAGCGTCCTTTTTTATGCTGTACTGTGCTGGGGAGGCAGCATTAAGAAGAGAGATACCTTGTGGCTGGACAAGGTGGTCAGAAAAGCTGGCTCTGTTGTGAGTACAGAGCTGGACTCCATAGCGGAGAAGAGGACCCGCAGTAAGCTGCTGTCCATCAAGGACAATGTTCACCACCCTCTGCACAGCATCATCGCCAGGCAGGTGAGCTCATTCAGCAGCAGGCTGCTGTCTGTCTCCCGCTCCACGGACAGTCTGAAGAAGACATTTGTCCCTCAGGCCACACAACTTCTCCTCCTCCCAGTGAGGAGTCCTGATCTGGACTTTTGGACATGTGTAGTAGTGACATGTGATGTCACTTTTCAACTCCATAATATTATGATCCTACTTCACTATGACACTATACTACTTCACATTTATTATGTACAGTATACCCTATGTATACTTGGCACACGTTACTCAATATGCACACTTCTATTTTTATACATAGTCTTACACTTTTATACATTTCTTTATTTTGGGTGCTGTGATGAATAAAGTACCTATCTATCTATTTAATGTTTTGCTCTGCAGTGAGAAAGAAAAATCCACCATGGACAAAAGTGTTTACTTTGAAACAAGAGAGCATTTCAGATACTGGAGGATTTATTTGGAATATACATGCACATAAAAAGGATAACACTTTTACAGCTATAGAGACAATGTATGAAGGTTACTGAGGAGTGGACTTTTGATAACATGCCGCAACACTGAATACTGAACAAATTAAAGAGATTACAGTTTGAAGCTCGAAGTCCCCGGGTTTGGTGCCTAATACGCAGGTAGCTGCTATCAATAAGATTTTCTGGAAGAGTAGTAAACACACTGAGCAGCCAGACAACACATGACCACTGCTACAGAAACAGAAAACTAGTGAGTCTGAAGGAACAGGACAGAGGCTCCCAGCTGATTCTCATCTCTGATACTATCTAACATGTAAAGATTTTCTTTAGGCTTTGCTTTTGTCTGAGCTATCTTGCTCTGTGCTCTCACGTCCACTGCCAAACCTTCTGTTCAGTTCTGATGTCAACACAGAGCAGCACGATTTCTGTGAAAGAAAATTTGAAAAAGTAAGGAATGAAATTACCCCATGATGCAATCACACTGGGTAATACTCTTCCCTACCTTGCTATCCTTAGCTTGGTTGCGAGCCCTGGACAAGAGTTCCAGCAATGCCAGTAGGAGCCCAATACCCAGTCCCAGGCCCAGGAGGAGGAAGAGGCCCCGCAGGTCATGGGGGTGCAGGGCCTTGGAGGAGTGGGCCCTGTTGGCCCCAACACAGCTGCTGGCCCACCACTTGTCCCGTAAGTATGTCAGCTCACCGGACTCGCTGAGCTGGAGGATGGCTATGGACAGGTTTTTGACCAGCTGGGAACCTGGTGGACCAAAGAGTGGTGGTGTGATAGAAGACCAAGGCTGCTGAACACCTCACTCCAACACCAATATTAACCTGCTGCAGTTGCAGCCTCTGCTCTTCTAGTTTGAGGATTTCCTTTAGATTTTTGAACCAGGCTGCACAGATCTGCTCCCATTCAGCCACAGGTGCATTAACAGAAAGGCCTGTCTCACAGTCAGTTTCTGGTTCATCCCAAACATGGTGGATGGGGCTGAGGCCCGCTCCAAACTGGGAATACTATCTTTATGAAGCTGCCTTTGTGCATGTCAGTGTTGTATTTAATCAGGAAGAAAACAAACAACTTACTGACACAAAGCTGAGAGAGCACAGTGACTGTGCTGGACCAGTCATTTTAGGAGCTATGGTGCCAAACAGACCAAGACCAAATATATATAGGCAGGTGTGTCCACATACTTTTGGCGATGTGGTGTATTTTCTTTCAGAAAGCAGACTTGAAAGGAGCAGGTCACCGCATTGGCACCATGATTTAACAAAGAAAAGAAGCAAACATTGTGAACGTTTACATAGTCTCAACCAAAGGCTGAACACTGAAGGGTCTGCTTGAAACAAACCATTGCATACAAGTCTCTCCTCGTCAGTGCTCATGGTGGTGAAGACTGACAAGAAAGCTCATGTTCAAACTCTGATTTGATGAACTACAGAAACTGTCAGCAGCCACCTCGTCCCCACCCACTACTCTGACAGCCAAACATTTTAAGAGAGGGAGCTTCAGATGCTGTTAGATGATCTGAAAAGCATTTCATTTGAAGCAGACAGATGCCCTTACAGATATGTCAACTTAGAGCCATTGGGGGTGGAAACTAAAAAAAGAATTTGCTTTTGGCACCCCTGGTGTTAAGAGTTCAGACCTGTGCACAGTGACATCATTAATGTGAATCAATCCACCAGGATGGTAAAAAACCTTCCTCCATCCATCCATCACCATTTAAGGTTCAAAAATCTTTGAAGTCCGCACACAGGATCTTTGATTGAAAGATAATCCAAAGTGCAAAATTTCAGTGGTGAGTGATTTGTGTTAAGTGCCATGCAAAAACAACAGTTTCTCAAATGACTCACCCAGAGGTGCTGCGATGGAGTAGGCTCTCATAGCAATGACTTCCTGTGAACGGGTTAGGTTACAGTTGCGAGCCACTGCTAGGTCCAAAGATGCTGCTTCACCAATGAAGGCAAAGTTTCCCTCTTGGCTGCGGCGAAAACCCTCTGCTGTGTTGGACACGTAGCTTTTCTTACGCTCCATGTGCTGGTAGATATGCCGGTACACAGGGTTGTTGGAATTCTGTGGAAAAAGTATGAAGAAATAAACATTTCAATCCTCTCGTGTTCTACACAGTATTCTGACTGTGCAAAATATCAGGAGCACATGTCAGTTTTCATTTTGAATGTGCCTTAAAGAAAAGCATGGTGGATGCAGCATTGATTGTGCCGTAATCGATCTCATCCTGGTCTGCGAGGTCTTCAAAAGTCTGGATGGAGATGTGTTTATTGTTGGAGTGAAACATGGAGATCAAATTTCCAAAGTAGCAGGCCAGCAGCATTACAGTAAACAGCCACCAGATGGCGCTGACTACATGGCCAGATAGGGACTTAGGGTGAGGACCAGCACCTGGGGGGAGAAGGAGAAGCAGAACAAAGTTTCCAGTGAGTGGGGCTGCACTAAATCTGTAACCTGCATCACAACATTGCACATGTTTATCATTTAGTTTTAGTTACAGCTGCATTTGAAGATAAAACAGTTCATGTTCCTGTGGGATTATACAAACAGTGCATGTGTGTAGCTGACTGCTAGGTTACCTTGCAGGGTGAGCGCTCCTGTGATGTACCAGAAGCTGTGCAGCAATGTGAAGCTGTGCTCCTCAGAATCTGGCTCAGCCCATTCAGTGGGGCTGATCCTGCAGAAAAACCAAAGGCCCCATAACCAGCACTGTGAAAGCAGCAGTTATTTCGTGTTTCTTTATTCTGCAGCTTTTTGTCATAGATGGACTGAATTAACAGCCAACAGTTTACTATGGGGACATTATGAAGCTGGCACTTACCTGCCCACCAGGAATATGCAGAGACCGGTTAACAAAAATGCAATGAGCACGCCGACCCACATGTTGGTGGAGAAGGGTGACAGCAGGCTGAAGGTGCTCTCTTCAGAGGTCAAGTCCTTGCGCAGGACGAAGCCGATTCCTGTTTGCATGAAGGGGGTGGTCATGTCCACAAACTGCTCTCTGACTGCAGTGAGGGTCAGCGGGGCCACAGCCAGGTCAGCCTCCTGATGGATGGTACAGGCATGCATCATATGAAAGACACAGCTAATGTGACAGTGTGCAAGGTGCTGAGCAGCACAAGTTTATGAAGATCCATATTGCTTATGTTGATATGACAAAGGAAGTGACAGTGTGTAACCTGATATAGAGCCATTTACTGTATACTGTATGAATGTGTTTCCAAGATTCAGTTTATATTTTTTTTAAAAAGCACTTAGTGTTATGACAAGGGAGCCAAGTCAAGGCAGGAGGACTCTAGGGCAGACTCAGACAACGAGTTCAATAGGACTTTATTCAAAAACAATAGTACAAAAGGTCAATGTTTCAGGCGGGTTTCTACCAAGCCCACGTCTGGGTGAATGTAGTGGAGCAGGACTTGTGGCAGGCTCAGGGGAGGCAGATGACTGGAGAGGTTTTCTAGACACAGGAAACCCTGGTGGGCATGAGGGTTGGAAAGAATCCTGTTTTTTTTGAGGTTTGGAAAGAATCCTGCGGAAGAGCCAACAGGTCGCCGCTTAGGACACTCCAGCAGCTACGAGGGAGGTCCCAGGGGGCGGTAGAATGACACAGGAGAATAGCAATGTTAGGGTAGGTATAGGCTGGGTTTGTGTCGCAGGTTGTCGAGATGACATGGGTTGATGCTGGTTCAGGAGATCCCAGACAAGCTACAGGTAGGTGGGGGTTGCTAGACTGGAGTAGTGACGCTGCGGGTCATTGAGGAGTCGTTGGTTCAGGAGCAGTGAGGAAGAACAGGTGAGTTGACCACAAGATCGGAGGGAGCTGGTTCAGCGTCGAGGTTGCAGGTGAGCAGGGGCGTTGCAGGGTCAGGAATAGCGAGGAAGAACAGGTGAGCTGGCCACAGGACCGGCGGTGGCTGGTTCACATAGGACTGAAAGTGAGCCACACCGCGTAATGGCTCCATCAGGAGCAGAACAGGCAGGAACGTGGAACACAGGCAAGTGGGAGACACAGGACTGAAAGAGACTCTTACAGCTCTGGGCAAGCAGAGACTTTAATCAGTGTAAGCTGCTGGGACACCTTCAGGAAGAATGAGACTTTAATCAGTGTAAGCTGCTGGGTGAGAATGAGTGAGGGACACCTTCAGGAAGAAATCCTTAGGTCTTTGGCCGTCAGAATGAAACAAGTTCAACTAAGCAAACCAGTAAGATGTCATGAACTGTGTAACGGACCAGTGAGTGACTGAAGGAAAGGAGGTGGTTTATAAGGCTGAAAACGAAGGATGATTAACAACAGATGAAGACAGTGAACGCTGATTGGAACTGTGGTAAAGCTGGGGCAGGAGAGGTGGAGCAGAACAGGAAAAACAACACAAAATAAAAGCACTAAAACAGGAAGCAACTCTAAATCATAACACTTACACCAACATGGGACTCAAAAAGAGCCTCTGATGAAATTTAATCTGGAGATGAGGCACATTCAAAAACATAGAACCAACACTTTTAAACAATTAAACTGCTAAATGTAAACAGATAAAGAAACCCAGTCTTTGATATGAAATTAGGAGAAAGGAGATTTAAAATAAATACTATACTAAACAATTAATATGGAAATAATTTGAAGTGACTAAATCTCAACTTATTATTTGAAATGTTATTATAATGCTAAAGTCTTTGCAAGAAAAAAGTGATTTTTGACAATGGCTTGCAAATAATTCATTTCTAACAAAATCAATAATTCATTTCGAACTTCCACTGTTTATTTTAAAAGCTTTTATTTATTTATTTAATTTGCAACACTGGTTCAACTTACATAGGGTAATTGTATATGTGAGTGGGTTTTGAGAGCTAAAAACAGGCTGATGGAAAGGCTATCAAACTTTGCATGTTACAGCATATCACACTGAGCTCCCACCTGCGTGGCCCTTTTATTGACTGTGCCATGTTTTTGTTTCAGTATCGCCCCTGGTCTCTGACTTACCTTTCTGATGATCTCACCAATCATGCCGTGCCAGTTGCCACTGGAGTCCATGGATCCGTAGCGGTTGTCCTTCACCAGGTGCAGTTTGTACTTGAAGCCCAGCTTCTTGGAGAGCTCTGAGAGGAGGTCATTGCAGTAGCCCTCCAGCTCAGAGCCTCTGCTCATGATGTACGGATCCTCCTGAGGAAACAGAACAACCAACCTTACTGCTTACAGGGAGTGTGACGGATCATTGTGGGAGAACTGGGCTGAAGCAACAGAGAAGGTGATACAATGATTTGATGATGTTCAGGATATAAAACAAGGAGGAAACTGATTGTGAAATCAAATTTCTGATGTTTCATTTGTGCCATGCTTTGATTTAGAAATGGGAAAATCATAAATGGTTTGTAACTCTCTTTTTACAGTGTAAACATTTTTTGTAGTAATTTGAGTTCATAATGTATGATTTTGTGTAAATAAAGCCCCTTTTCCACCGCCTGGTACCAGCTAAACTCGACTCAACTCTATTCTACCCTGGCAGGGCAGGCTCAAAGCTGTTGTAATTTTCATCCTAGGACTGCTATTATACCATTTTATTAGGTTTTTGAAGCAACAAAATAACCATCTAGTTTTCAAATATGTGGTCAGTCTATCCAAGTAGTGCCAGTTACAAATTTGCTCTGATATTTTTGGAGATATGATGACCCACTAACATGCCAGCTTGATAGCTCTACTTAACAGACATAGCTGTAGCCATTGTGCTCGTGTTATCACATTCAGTAACCTACTGTATTTGTGATAAGATGCACAATGTGGTAGTTCACGTAATATCATGGTTATATTATATAGTAACAAAGACTCGAGGCCTCTGTCACCATAAATTTTACCCTCTATAATAGTTGCGAGAGGGAAGTGGCATGAGTCTGGTTTTTATTAAGCACACACACAAGAGGCAACGGCAACTGAACCAACTAAACAGTAGCACACAACAACCACAATCCCTGCAAAAGCTGAATTTATACTTGTGTGTCACTGCTCATATGGAAAAATATGCATCTATTGTTTGAAGATGGTTGCATAGCTGTAGCACTTATACAACAGCTGTAGCAACATAGACATGGGGGGACCAGGCATTCAGCTACGCCACTAGCTGCACTTGGAAGAAATATGTCTCTAGTGGCTCGTCCCTGCTGCAGCATGGCAGCTTCTTGGTCTTTTAATGGCTGGCTCCTAGCTCCAGGCTGTCTATGGTCCCCCCGGACATTCTGGGGGAATGCCACCAGTGACTCTCTGCCCCCAGTGCCACAGTATTATACACCTGCAGGGGGCAGTAATATGCCCAGTTTAATCTATACTGCTTTAAATCATAGAAGGAAACTAGTGTCTTCAGTAATGACAAATTTCTATGACCAATCGGTAGTCTGCAGTGTTTACAGGTCAATGTTTGGTATCACCGCAGCTCCCTTGGAACCTCCATACCAAAATTAGTACCAGATACCAGGTACAAATATGACAAATCTTCAGTTATGATGAGAATGTTCCAACCCAACTCAGTGTTGAGATCTGGGAACATAATGACTTTGTTGCAACCACCCCCACCACCACAAAAACCCGTGAGTACACGAGTAGTCATCTGATCAGACAGATTGTTTATCCATCATTGATTAACTGTGCACATACAGGAGGTGAAAGCTGGACTTGTAATTCTGCTGTAAAACTTGTGATATACTGGTTTCTTACCATGTGACAAGAACCTACCATGTGAGTGGTGTTGTTTGCACACTAAACTGTGTGTTTAGTGCTTTTTATTTGGGGAATTAAAAATTATATTTACTATGCGACATATCAGGACACAAATCAAACATGGGGAAACTTCCAACATTCCTACTGAGGTCATGACCCCAACTACCTCTGTTTGTTTTTCTTATAAACATTCTAGTATTGTTGTGGGTTGTCCAGAATCTGCTGCTGAACTTTATTTAAATCTTTATACATATGTATTGCCTCCATGTATTTAATTACATCTTTCAAATGAGTAATGTTAACTTCTGAAGACACAATAAACAACATTCGGAGAAAATGCATTTACACCGGATAGCCATTATGTATATAACACCCGGACTAGTTTAATCTGCTTTTTTTTTACTGCACTAATTGTTTTGGGTAAAAGGTTTGTCAGCACAGTTTTATTTATTACTGATGGAAAACTAACCACAGAAACCACTTGTTGGAAAATTAACTAGAACTGCTGTTTCACAAAGTGCTAGCTGAGCCAAGATGATTGTGTTTGACATGGCCACCTTGGCGTTCTAGTCTCTAGAGTGGCACAAAGACACAATACCTTTATAGTGGTGATGGATAACTCCTTGGCATCTAGAATGAAAAAACAAGCACCACAATAAATTAGGGATTCCTGTAAGGAAGCAAGTTAATACAAGCAGGCATCAACACAAAGATGAGAGGATTTAGCTCTTTGGATGATTAGTGGTTCGGGCTACATGTGCAGAGCAGCTTTTGAATGACTGAATGAAGCATATTGTTGCTTTGAGTCCCCCATGTGTTTTTCCCTCAGCTGCAGCAGTAAATAAGCCAAACAGCCAGTGAAGGACAATGACAGTCTTGTTGTCAGCTGTTTTTCAGGAGACCTGAGAAAGTGCTCCACATTGATGGGTACAGTGGGGGGTGGGGGGGGGGTAAAACTAGGCCCCTGTTGTTAGAGATCAAAGTGGGGACCCAGCCTTGAGAATGTGTTTGGGTGTTTTTCAACCCTCCATTTATCTTGTAGATCAGTGTAGGGGACAAACCCCCCAAGGCTCTGATATTACCCATGACATTTGAGTTTTCTTTTTGCTGTAACTGTGACCAATGGCATTTGCAGCATGTCCAGCAGGACCTTACATGCCCTGCCAGGGTTGGTCAGAGGAGGGAGGGGGATAAACGAAGGTGCCAGGGGTGCAAGTTCTTCATAAATGCAATCTATAACAAAAGTGGGCCCAGTTGTGTCATATAAAGCCCATGACACTCTGTCAGCCTCCTCTGGAGAAGATGGCAGGACCTGCGATTTGCGGAGATGCCTGTCAGTTCATTGCCTGCCCGCAGAGCCCTCCCCCCCACATGCTTAATTGATTTATCACAGTGCTTTCTGGACCACAGCAGGGCATGGCCTCTCCACTGGTGAGAAATGGGACACTGCCACAGTGGATGTTGCCACTGTGCAGTGTCTAGCAGAGCCCCTGGGGGAAGAGGGT